TCTGGGAGTTGAGCTCTATATCTGAGTACTTGGCTATTTGCATGCAAGACTTCGGTCTTCATATCCTCGGTGTCCGAGCTTTGTGTTCGAGCTTTGCATCAGAGCTCTTGGTTCCAGGAAACTTTATGACCAAGTCCTTTTGGACTATATCATCTTCAAACTTCGTCTTCATATTTGGCACTTAGCATCCAAAGCATAATTCATCCAGAGGGCTCTGGCCCTTAGTGCTTAGTATCCATAACCAAAGGACTTAGTGTCCAGAGGTGCTTCGGTCATCTAGAGGAGCTTCGGTCATTTAAAGGAGATCTGGTCCATAATGCTTGTGAACTAGAGGCTCTGGTCTTTAGAACCAGAGGCTCTAGTTGCACTTCCAGACTTAGTCGATTTAGTAATGCAGATCTCTAAACTTTCCATTATTGGCCCAAATTATTATAATTAAACTTTAATAATATTTAAGACTATTTTAGTCCTAACATCTTTTCTGGATTATATTCGTTGAAAATAATAATAATAAATTATCTTGTTACAAACACATGGGAAAAAAGTTATAAAATCTTTCTACATGTCTGATGATCAAAATGGGTGTTGGGTCAACCCAGGCATGTCAAACTCGATGCAAAATGAAATGTTTTACAATAAAGTGACGGAAATTAGATCTTCGCACATCAGTTTTACTTCTACAAGCTTCTAGACCAAAGCCTGTGTGTAAATTCACACACCTAAAGCTAAAATCTAGCAAAATCTTGGAGAAATTGCAAAGATTTTGAAGATTTGAAGGTATAATTCTTAGCATTTAGATTGTTTTGATGTAATTGGATTCATGCAACAAGGGTCAAGCACTAAAAAGATGATTTTGATGAATAAGCCTTGAGTTTTGCTATTTTTATAAAGTTTGTAAAATTTTGAGATAGAAATCTGAATTTGGTTCCAAATGGGAATGGTTTGGATACAAGATTTCTAAAAGTAGCCATTTTTTGAAACATAATAGTCAATGTTTCTCTCCTGTTTTAGAAAATCCATATAAAATCAAAGAAAAATCGAATAGACATGAAGTCAGTAGCATCTGAAATATAGAAGTGTCTAATTTATTTCTTGTTTAAAAGTCAGGATGTAATTTTGAGTTTAAGATGGTCAAAATGTGTTAGAACTGGGGGACTATATAGGGGAAATAAGAATAGAATTTGCTAACTAAGAATGGAATAGAATGAGATAATGTAATTATATGCTTATGGAATTGAATGTATATACTCCAGGGAGTATTATTATATAACTGAAAGCTTTTGGAATACCATACATATTTGAACTACAAAGTTAAAACAAGACTTTCGGCTAGTCGTTCGGTTGACCCATTTCATGCACTGTTAGTCTATATGAAATACATGTTTATATGTACTTATATATATATATAGAGGAGCGTTCAAATGAAAACTTGAACCATTTGTGTGAACCGTGTAAACTAATCTCATCCGTCCATTTTATCGATCAATGGC